AAAATTCGACACTTACCACCAGGGACTTAACAAGTCTTTGAACTTTCTCACCCATTATCAAGACAGTTTCCCCAATTATCACCTGTAATACCATTAACTCACAAACATCCCACTCTCCCTACCTTTAATATCAGCAATTCACAGACACTTACCTTCCTTCCTCCCCCTTCCCACCCCCCCGCATCCCCCTTCTGTTCTGCAATGTGATTTGTCCTTTTCATATTTGTTCATTTTTTTTAAATTGTATCCTTTGGTATATATGGTTGTGACTACTGTCTTCCACTATTTGATCTGAGGAAGTGGGTCTGGCCCACAAAAGCTCATCACCTATTAAACCATCTTGTTAGTCTTTAAAGTGCTACACAGTCCTGTCTTTTATTAAAGTATATCACTGAACTTTCACATATATGAAGGGTACGTTAACTTCCTTGTTTATTAACACTAAATCTATCTATTTTGGCTATTTTTCACTTGTCTGAGCTTGTCAGCAAAAAAATTCTCACTTTCACATAGCAGAATTGACTTCATCACCCTTAGGGCCTAGTTCCACAAGGTTTAGAGCGCCTACTTTGGGATTCTGAGCACCTTCAGTTCTCGTTGTGATCCATTGGATTTGAAGTGCTTGGTGCTTTGCAAAGATTGGGCCCTCAAAATGGATCTTCTGATTGTTGAATAATCACTTCTGTTATTCTTGGGTTGTTTATCACATCTCATTTAATGAGAAAGTATTATTCATGATGGTCAAATTATTATGTACTTTACATGTATACTTAGCTTCATGATATTAGAGATCGACATGATTGAAATTTCCCACTCCCTTCAGGAAGAGTATTTAAACTGTTACATTAGCCTTTGTTGATTTATTATGCTTACTTTATACTAAGAAAAGGCCCATTCCCGCTTTTCTTTCTTATTCAAGACTTTCATTGGTAGAATAGGATTAGCTTAACATTTTAAGATAACTAGTTTTGGAATGACAAAGAGTCAGAAAATTGACCATTTCCTGACAAGAGATAGCATATACAAAGTGAAGTGTCAATTTGGAATCTACTCAATTTTAAAATGAGTTAATAGTTTTAAATACACATGCTCTGAGTCTCCTTGCTAATTCATGAGTTTTTAAAATTACATTTTTACTATGCTAAAAGTAGTTTTGTTTCTTTCCTGTTGCTGAAAGACCCCCATTAAGAGGTATTCAACTCATAAAACAAAGCAGCTAGGGTGTTAGACTGGGATTCAGGAGACCTGAGCTTTAGTCTCAGCCCTGTCATTGGTTGCTGTTAGCTTTGTGCCTCAATTTCCTCTTCTGTAAAGCAGGAAAAATTATATGCACCTCTTAGTAAAATGCATTGAGATCTGTGGATGAAAATAGCTATGCATCATCATTACAAAAGAAAAATACAATTCAGCAGAAAAGCTGTCAGAGGTAGGACATGCATCCTACTAGTTTAGCCTCCCCTTCTCTGGTAGAGTAAATGTGCACATAAAGGCCCATGTCATACCATCTATTGTCATACAAAACTGTTGATTTCAAGGGGGCTCTGAGTATGAAATAGGAGTAAGATATGATCCAAATTAGAATCATAGACTAATAGGACTGGAAGGGACCTCAAGAGGTCATCGAGTCCAGCCCCCTCCCTCAAGGCAGGACCAAGCTCCATCTACACCATCCCTGACAGATGTCTATCTAACCTGTTCTTAAATATCTCCAGAGAGGGAGATTCCACCACCTCCCTTGGCAATTTATTCCAATATTTGACCACCCTGACAGTTAGGAACTTTTTCCTAGTGTCCAATCTAAACCTCCCCGCTGCACTTTAAGCCCATTACTCCTTGTTCTGTCCTCAGTAACCAAGAGGAACAAATTTTCTCCTTCCTCCTTGTGACACCCTTTTAGATATTTGAAAACCGCTATCATGTCCCCCCTTAATATTCTTTTTTCCAAACTAAACAAGCCCAGTTCATGAAGCCTGGCTTCATAGGTCATGTTCTCTAAACCTTTAATCATTCTTGTCGCTCTTCTCTGTACCCTTTCCAATTTCTCCACTTCTTTCTTGAAATGTGGCGTCCAGAACTGGACACAGTACTCCAGCTGAGGCCTAACTAGTGCAGAGTAGAGCGGCAGAATGACTTCACGAGTTTTGCTTACAACACACCTGTTGATACAACCTAGAATCATATTTGCTTTTTTTGCAACAGCATCACACTGTTGACTCATATTCAACTTGTGGTCCACTATGACCCCTAGATCCCTTTCCGCCATGCTCCTTCCTAGACAGTCGCTTCCCATCTTGTATGTATGGAACTGATTGTTCCTTCCTAAGTGGAGCACTTTGCATTTCTCTTTATTAAACCTCATCCTGTTTACTTCTGACCATTTCTCTAACTTGCTAAGGTCATTTTGAATTATGTCCCTATCCTCCAAAGAAGTTGCAACCCCACCCAGTTTGGTATCATCTGCAAACTTAATAAGCGTACTCTCTATCCCAATATCTACATCATTGATGAAGATATTGAACAGTCCAGGTCCCAAAACAGACCCTTGAGGAACTCCACTTGTTAATTAGTGTTTGTTTCATCTGTTTGCTGTTGTCTAAATACCAGATCTTTGAACTTCAGGAGATGATGTTGATTCCCTTCCTTCCCGTCTTGAAATAATCTCTTTTCTGACTTTAACAATTTAAAGCTTCTCTTATATTAATTGTTGCAGTTAGCATGGTGCTAATATTGCTTTTGGATAACTGAAGTCCTTAAACTGAATATTACTTTTGAAAGCAAGTGTTATGCTTGTATAGTGTTAAATAGTGAATGTTTGTTTTGAGTATGTCCAGGTCTTGAAATTCTTTGTCAAATCAGATTATTTTGGATACAATTTTGGCAGAACATGGCTCCAATTATTTTGAATCAAGATCAAGTTCTTTTATGTTTATTTTCTTGAATTTGAGTCTGAAGCCAGGAAGTTGTTGCATATGCTCTCCCAGTCAGGTCATTAGAAGTTCCGCTTATGAAAGGACTGCAAGATCCACTCACTGTTTTTTTAAATGAGGATCTTCTTAGGTCATTGATTTTTTAAAAAAAATTAAATAAAAGTTAATGTAATATAAGGTGTTGAATTCAAAGAGATACAAATGCCTCTATCCTCTCCAAATAGCTACAGCACAAATAGTACAATGTAAACTTCTCCATACTATTGCCTAAACTAGGGATGTGAATGTGTACCTGTGTACACCGTTAACCGATGAGCCTGAGCAGCAGTATTGGAGAGGGGAGGGCGCAAAGGGTGAAGGGGGAGGCAGGAACTGGTATCTATGGGAAGCTGGCTCTCTAGCCAGCTCTCCGTGCAGAATCAGAGGCAGCAGCGTGGGGTTGGGGGGGACAAGCAGGAGCTGATACATGCGGGAAGCTGGCTTTTAAGCCAGCTCCATGTGAGTACTGGCTCTTGCAGAGCCGCTTGCCTCTCTCCGCTGCGTTGTTGCCTCTGATACAGAGGTGTTTCTTTGTGTGAAAGGGTATTTCAGTCTTTATGTTCTTTCAGTCCTTTTTCTCTCTA